TACAAATTCGTCACCCTGGCGGCACCCGGCGGGGTGGCTCTGTCGGTTGAGCGTCCGACTTCAGCTCAGGATCATGATCTCGCGGTCTGTGAGTTTGAGCCCTGCATCGGGCTCTGTGCTGACCACTCAGAGCCTGGAGCCTGCTTCAGATTCTGTGTCTCCCTCTCTTTCTGCCCCTCCCCCACTCACACTCTATCTCTCTCTCAAAAAATAAATAAACATTAAAAAAGAAAAAAAAGAAAAGAGCAGCATGCTCTCCTAACTGGGCCGATCAGGCACCCCACTGCCAGGGTTATTTTAGGAATCCCGGAGAAGGAGATGGATGTAAAATTTCAAGAAAGTTAGCTAATCTTATCTACATTTTCAAAGAGGGCGAAATTGTGATTTCTGGGTAGTCTAGTGATGTCAGACTTATTTCAGCTCCAAAACACCATGTTTATACCTCCCAGTCTGCACAGGCTGCTCCCTTGTTTAGAAGCTGCCACCCTCCTCCAGACTGGGCGGCCTGATTCCTAGTTTTCAAAACCCGGCTCCGACGCAATTACCTCAGGTTTTCTTACATGAGATTAGTTCCTACTCTGCTGTCTGGGTACTTTGTGCCTCTGTTGTCACATTTACTTTATTGTATCATAATGTGTGTGTTTGTTTCCCCTACTAGAAGGAGCTCCTTGAGAGAGAGGCCCCCTTTTTAGTCTTTACCGAGACCCAACACCTAGCACGGTTCCAGGAACATAACAGCACTTGATAAACATTTGTTGAATGGGTGATTGAATGGTCAAGAGAATGACCTGAGGAATGAATGAATGAATGAATGAGTGGGTGAAAGGATGGCTGAGTAGTGGGTGGTAAATAGATGGTTGACTCATGGGTAGTTAAATGAAAATTCAATAAATAAGAACCTAGAGTTACACAGGTTACACTCTCCAAATTAGTCATGTCCAGAGAAGTAACAGTGGTTTACTTCTTTGTCCTAGAATGATGCCATCTTGTAAGCTGGCCATCCCCAATTTGTTTCAGTCTCCACTAAGCTCTATTGTGAAGTCAAACTGTACATAAAGGGAAACTGCATCAGAGAAACTATAACTTGTAAGCACTGTATCCAGATTAGCACTTACAATAATGTATGTCTTATGTTTACTCATGTTCAAAAACTAAAACATTTTGGTTGAGACAGTCTTGTTTAGTGGAAATAGTAGGTCAATTACCATATTATCCAGTGAATTAGGAATATTCCCTCCAATCTTACAATGAAATTTGGGGGGATGGGGTGGGAGATGTGTTTGATCATCTAAGTACAGTATGTTGCTTTCAACCTTGGGTTATGGTGGAATTCAATTTAAGTCTAAAATGTTGGGAGAATAAATGCAAGTCTTGCCCCTGATCACTAAGTAGGTATAGCTTATTATTTTTGGTTAAGAAAATAACTTATATGCCCTGAAACCCTGTCTCTGCTGTTACTTTTTTGTGGATAGGCCCCAACGCTCGGGAGCATAAGCATCTATAATTCCAAAATACAAAAAAGTTTGAAATTCAATTTTTCCTCACAGGTTTATAGCAAATATTTGCTGGGAAGAACCTAAACCATTTGTTCCATATATATAAAGGCATTGACAGTGGGTTTTTTTTTTCTATGATATAAATATCCATACATTTTATAGCAGAAATAATAATTAGTTTTTGGAATAGAGGCCTCTCAGGTCTCACTGGAGATCTACATCAATAAGTTGTGTGTAACATCTTTTCTAAAACAAAATAACACAAACAAATGTGAATTCAAAAATCCAGTGCTTTAAAATAAGGGATGTTTACACTGGGCTCATTGGAGGCAGAGCAGTCTGGGATACCGTTCATAAGCATGAGAAGCACGCGTATACATCTTGTACAGGCAAATGTGATAATGAGATCCACCATGTTTTATTATCCAACCGTAGACATAAGCCAGCATATTATCATCAGCCATTACTAAATAGAATTTTTCCCCAGGATCTTCAGATCATTCCTCATTAATTTGTCCTTCACTATAGCCTCGACTATTTTTTTTTTTTGAGGCCATGAAAATTCATGTTATTTTATTTTATTTTATTTTATTTTTTATTTTTATTTTTATTTTATTGTTATTTTTTAATTTACATAGAAGTTAGTTAGCATATGGTGCAATAATGATTTCAGTAGGTTCCAGTGATTCATCCCCTATGTATGACACCCAGTGCTCATTCCAACAAGTGTCTTCTTTAATGCCCCTTACCCATGTAGCCCTTCCCCCACCCACAGCCCCTCCAGCAACCCTCAGTTTGTTCTCTGTATTTAAGAGTCTCTTATGGTTTGTCCTTCTCCTTGTTTTTATATTATTTTTGCTTTCCTCCCCTTATGTTCATCCGTTTTGAATCTTAAATTCCTCATATGAGTGAAGTCATATGATATGTGTCTTCTCTAATTTCGCTTAGCTTAATATCCTCTAGTTTCATCCAGGTAGTTCCAAATGGGAAGATTTCATTCCTTTTTGATGGCCGAGTAATACTCCATTGTATGTGTATACCACATCTTTATCTATTCATCCGTCTTTGGACATTTGTTCTCTTTCCATACTTTGTTTATTATCGATAGCACTGACTACAGCCTTGACTTTAAAGAAGAGAGTATGGAAGTATGGATGTCAGATAACTTGGCCATGTGGATGGTGATGATGGTTTCTCTCGGCCTTTCCCTATATTATTTGTCTTAAAAAAAAAAAAAAAAAAAAAAAAAAAAAAAAAAAAGCAATTTTAACACTGCCCCCAAACTAATAGAAAAGAAACTATGTTTCTCAGTTTTCACACTGGATTTCTCTCAGTGTTACATTCGAACCTCCATAGAGGTTTAGGACAGGAGCATATATCAGATGTTTTCCCCCACCCTACTCTTATCACTGTGATAATGGTTCTACTCAGCATTTGTAAAGAAAAGTGACAGAATGACAAGTATTATCTCCTCCAGAGCAGAGATCAGGACAGTTATAATCACTGTTTATCTCCCCACCACCACCTACCACAGGACAGCTGCCACGTCTGGATGGTTTTTTACTTTCTGGGGATCCATTTTAATGAGTCAACCAAAGTAGCTTTGTCAACCCAATATAAAGTCAAATGCAAACTTACCAATCTTCAAAAATAAACGAAAATACGTTAAGGCAATGTATTCCAGGACAATAAATGGGGTTTTACCTAGGCTTTCCTTAGTGCTTTTAAATGAAATATTATTTTAAAAAAAAATTTTTTTTAACGTTTATTTATTTTTTTGGGACAGAGAGAGACAGAGCATGAATGGGGGAGGGGCAGAGAGAGAGGGAGACACAGAATCAGAAACAGGCTCCAGGCTCTGAGCCATCAGCCCAGAGCCCGACGCGGGGCTCAAACTCACAGACCGCGAGATCGTGACCTGGCTGAAGTCGGACGCTTAACCGACTGCGCCACCCAGGCACCCCTAAATGAAATATTATTTTAAAACACAGTGTGTTGAAACACCTTACCTCCACCAAATATCTAAGTTGAAACATTTTAGTGGGCTTGGAAATAAGGTAACAATATTTAAGTGGTAGTTGCACAATTTCATTGAACAAATTAAGAATTTGCATGGCTTGGTATGTAAATGGTGAAAGACCATACAAAATTTAGTAACTACTGACTAACAGTTGTAATTAAGATGGGGTTTTAGGGGCGCCTTGGTGGCTCAGTCGGTTGAGCATCCAACTTGGGCTCAGGTCATGATCTCGTGGTCTGTGAGTTTGAGCCCCATGTCAGGCTCTGTGCTGACAGCTAAGAGCCTGGAGCCTGCTTCACATTCTGTCTCTGTTTCTCTCTCTGCCCCTCCCCTGCTCCCACACTGTCTCCTCTCTCTCTCTCTCTCTCTCTCTCTCTCTCTCTCTCTCAAATATAAACATTAAAAAAAAAAGGATGGAGTTTTAATGAGAAGGTATCTAAAGTCTTTTTGTTCTTCTCACAGTGTTAAGCTGTTCAAGAAAAGCTGAACTTTTTAACATATCCATTAATGTTTGCGTGTCGCCAATGCAATGTGTAACGTGACTTGATAGTAACATCAGTACCCATAAACATCAAAGGCCTAGAACTGCATAATTTTGAAATGATGAGTAGTTCCCAAAAGGTAGGATAAAACTAGACAAATACAAATCATCATCACTTATTATTTATTAAGCACCCCCCCTGTGAATGGCATTTATATTTCATAGGAGGGACTCTGTTCTACAAGAACTAAAGCAGGCGTTCGGTGTTGTCCAGGAAACAACAACAACAAAAACCTAGTAGTTTCCCTACTGTGGAACTGGAGTGGAAGCCTTGTAAATCAAAACTCACATGCAGCAATAGACATGTCGTGTTGAGCTAATGTTGAATATAAGCCAAGGCATCAAAAAGGATCCTCACAAAGTTGTCTTCTGTTTTGTGATGATCTCTGTTTTGGTGGATTCTTTTTTTATAATAAATTCCTTGGAGAAGCACCTGGGTGGCTCAGTTAGTTAAGCGTCTGACTTCAACTCGGGTCAAGATCTCACGGTTTGTGAGTTCGAGCCCCAC